AACTTGATCTCCCCAGAGTGGGCTCAGAGGAGAGAGAAAAGATAGAAGTATTGTTTTTAAACAGATTTTTCCCTTTGTTTTTCTTTTTTTTCTCTTTTCTTTTTTTTTTTTTCCCTCCCCTCTCCCCCTGCGAGTGCTGGCGATAAAAGGCCGGGTTGGCCAGCGCCGGCTCAGAGGGAGGAAATGCCGAAATCTCCGCGGCTCGACGCGAGCGCCCACTGACCCAGCCCGGCACAGAGCGCACAGCCGGTGCCTTCCCTGCACCCCGGCACCGTGGGGGCCTCTGTGCCATGTGGGCGCTCAGCCTTGGCCTCGTGGCCCTGACCTGCGCCACGACGGCCCTGTGTGCCACCAGAGCCCAGCGCCGGGCCCTGGACGGGGGCGGGCGCCGGCGCTACCACCGCGTGCAGCACGGTCACTGCAGCTACACCTTCGTGCTGCCCGAGGCTGACCCGCTGCCCTGCCCGGCCTCCCCCGGCCCTGCCCCCGGCCCGGCCAACGCGCTGCTGCAGCGGGACTCGCCGGCCGGCACTGCACATGCCGGGCACGGGGCTGCCCAGCGCCTGCAGCACCTCGAGAGGATCCTGGAGAACAGCACCCAGTGGCTGCTGAAGGTAGGATGTGGGGTGTGGGGGGCACAGGCAGCAGGGTGGTGTGGGCAGGAGTCTGTGTCCAGCACCTACACACGCAGCATCCCCGAGCCACTCCCTGCTCCGGCAGCACAGCTGGAGACATTTGGGACTGTGCCCACCTGAGCAGCCAGGTCAGCTTTTCCCTGCCATCAGGTGCTGTCTGTGTGGAGGGGATGGGAGCTGCAGATCACTCACCCAGAGCTCGTCCCACTGAGGCTGTATTCGCTGTCCATCCCTGCCACAGGGCTCCCTGTGTTCCCAGCTGGGTTGGCCATGCCAGGCATCTCTTGGAGCTCAGTGTTCCTTATTCTGGGTCAGGATACTAGGAAGGGGTTTGGCTGGTGGCAGAGTGAGGGACCTAAGGGCAGAGGCCGCCAAAATCTCTCCAGATTCATCGTTTTCCCCCTTATGGGTTTGGCCAAAGCTCCCAGCACTTGGTGAGACTTTGTGTGGTACCTGTGGCTCCTGGGTGGCCTTGTGACCCATGGGTGGGTGCAGGGTGGGGTGCCACACCAGAGGGGCTGTGCACCCAGAGGGTTTCCCTCCCCCACCCCCATCCCCAGCGCCTGAGGCAGGAAGCAGCATTTCCTTTCTGAAGCCCCCACCAGCCAAGCAGGGCTGCCTGCGTCAGGCCCAGGAATAGCTCATCCCAGGGGACACCTCTTGGGGGGCCCCTAAACCCTGCACCCCATGCCTGAGTGCCTGGGTGCCTGAGCTGATAAGAGGGGAAGCGGCTTGTCCCCAGCTGTCACCGACCCAGCAGAGCCACATCCAGCATCCTGTGCTGTCCCACTGGGGTGCAATGGGACCTGTGTGCCTCTGCACCCTCATTTCCTGGGTGATGCCCCAACTGAGGTGTGTACCGAGCCCCCAGAGCACTCGGGGATGGAGATGGGGCCAACACACTGAGTGGGGGTCCCAGGGGTGGCCCGTGCCAGCCGCACTGCTTGGGCAACCATCCCAACAGTGGGGGACAGGGCAGGCAACAGGGACGTGCAGGGTTGTTCCTTGTCCCATCCTAGAGGACAAATTCCTCAAAAGCTGGGAAAACGTTGAACCATGGCTCTGCTGGAAGACGGCCCGGGGGGTTACAGAGGGATCAGCGGGGCCAGCGACAACCCAGTGGCACCGAATCTCCATCACTGTGGGACCTGCTGGCTCTGCTGGGCACAGGCAGCCCTGGGGTCCCTGTGCCCTGGTGTCTTTGTGCCCTGTGTGCCCAGCCCTGCTCTGAGCTTCTCCCAGCATGAGGGCAGCCTTTGGGCATGGCTGAGCAAGACAGAGAGCCAGGGGTCCCACCACAGGTGCTCATGGCCCTGTCCAGAGCAGGCAGCCACAGGCAAAGTGGGGCTGCACATCTGGGCAGCTGTGGCAGCAGTGCCCCCTCAACCCAGCCCCAGTGGGGCACTGGGTCCAATCCCATTCTTTCCATCCATGCCATCACAAACATCCCACCCTGTCCCATCCCATCCCAAGCATCCCTCCCATCCCACCCCGTCTTGCAGCACAGCTCTCTCCTTTTAGAGGCTGCTTACAGCTATGTTTTTTTCTGTTGTTCCCTGGCTTCCCGAATTTCAGTGGAGCTGCCCAGGGAGGCTTGTTTTGGTCAAACTCCAGCCCTGAACAAACAAACCAGGGCTCAAAGGAGGCATCGGGTTCAGGGACAGATCGTAAACAACATCACATCCCCGTCTGCTCTACCCTGGCATGGGGAGCCCTGCAGGGTGCCGAGGAATTTGGAGGTACCCTGAGACCCAGCAGGGCTTCCCAGCAGCCCTAGAACCAACCTCCTTTAGGAACCCCATCCATGGCACTGGGGAGCTGGTCCACCCTCCCCCTGTGCAGACCCCCGTGGCCATGGGGACAGGGACGTGATCAGTACCCAGAACACAAGGACATGTCTGCTGCTTCTGCTTCGGGAGGAATTAATTTTAGTTCAAACACAAACATTTGATGGTGCCACTGGGTCTGAGTGGGCTCAGGGTGGGGGATGGGGTCCCAAGTGGGGCTGTGGCAGGTTGGCAGCTCTAGGGCAACAGGGACCGGTGCTGCTCAGCCTGGGATGGGTGCAGGGGTGTGGGAAGCAGGTGGGGGGCTATCCCTCCACTTCTGGCTCCGGAATCCTCCCAGTTGGTGTTTCTGGGGTGTTTAGAAATGCCAGAGCAGGGACAGGTGAGGGACATTGACCAGTGGGGGATGTGGCTGCAAGGAGGCAGCACCGGATCATTCAGCCGTGGGCAACAGGATCTTGGCATGGGGGCAGAGGGTGACTGGGGTTCCTCCTGCTCCAGGGCAGCTTTCTGGGGTGACCCGCAGCACCACAGCCCCTCCCCACCACTATTCTACTCTTATGGTGGAGGAATGAGTCTGGTGGGACCCTCTGAGCCCAGGGGAGCCCCATGAGGTGAGGGAAGGACAATACCAGATTCCCTGTCCTCAGCACAGAGCCTTTCCCACTCTGTGTCCCACTCCAGCTCCCAGGGAGTTGCTAGGGCTGGGATCCAGGGGTCCCTCTCTGGGGCTCTCAGCCCTCGCTGTGCCAGCCTGACCTTTTCCACGGGTATGTTCTGCCCTCAGCTCGCAGATATGTTTATTTAGGAGAAAAAAAAAAAAAAAAAAAAAAAAAGGCAAAAAGCAAGATTGAGAGGGGGGAGAAAAGGCCTCCCCGAGCCCTGTGAAGCAACAAGATTAACGACGTGGTTAAAGGGAAACTCTCCAGCAATCCCTCAGCTCGGGGAAATGTTTTCCAGACGTGGCTCTCCGACCTTTCCCCGCTTCCTCCCCGAGAGCACATTTCTGCGAAGGAAAATCCCCAGGGAAGCGAGTGCGGGCAAGGCCAGCTGGGACACCCAGCCCCGGGACCCTCCTGCCCCCACCGCGACTGCCCATGGTGGGGTGATGGTTTTGCCACTGCCTGGTACTGGGGAGGAAGGAATGGGGCCCTGCCACCATCAGTGGGATTTCGTCAGGCCAAACAAGTGCAGAGCCCTGTGCCCTGGCCAGCTGCCGCCAGCGCTCCCATGCCGAGCATCCCGGCACCAGCGCATTCCCGCCACGGTGCAGAGCATCCCGGCACCGCTGCCTGCTTGCCAAGCTGCCCAGGAAGCGGCATCCCAACCCTGATCCACAACCCCACGAGATGCAGGGGGATGTGGGGCTCCCTCCCTGCACCGCTGGGGAGCTCGGGCAGGGAAGCGGGATCTGGGCAGTGCAGTGACAGCGGGATCTGTGAGGTGCAGGAAGCTGGGCAGCCCCGTCCCCCTCCCCTGCTCTCGGGGGCTGCTTTTCCCAGCGTGGGCGGCAGCGCGGCCCCTTCCGCTCCCTGCAGCCCCCGCCGAGGGACTGTGCCCCCATCGAGGCCAGAGCCCTGGGGAGGGGCTGAATGGGAACCTCATGGCAGAGTGTCCAGAAATAGCAAGGCCTTTGGGAAAGGCGGCTCCCCCGCGGGCTGGGAAAGCGGAAGCCTCATCTCAGCTGTGTCCGAGCCGTGTCCGCAGCCAGCTCCTTCCCAGCCTGGAGTGTTTTCCCCGTGGTGGGGCAGCACCAAGCATTGGACAGCCACCTTCTCTGGCCTGTGGTGGCCTCCCACCCTCCACTTCCCCACTTCCCTGGGAAACCAGTAGCTGGGGGCCGGGAATTCATGACAATGCCAGTGCCAATGCCAATGCCAGCCGCTTCCTGCCCGGCTGTTTGGCAGGGCCACCCCAGCTGGGCATCAGCCCCAGCTCGCCAGCACACCTGGGCACACACAAGCCCGTGCCAGGTCCCAGCTGGCACTGCAACCCAGGAATCTTGGCAGACAGTGCCCGAGGGGGCTCCCCCACAGCAGCTCAGCTCGCTCTGTCCTCTGAGAAGTTTCAAAAGGCCCCCAGGGTGGGTCCTGCCAGGCTGAAACACTCAGGGCTTTGCCTCGGGGTTGTGCCCAGCGGTGCCAGGCTGGGCCTGGGTGCCGAGACAGGGCTTGGCGAGATGCCCAAACGACCCCCTGCATCCCCACTCCCCCCCACAGCTGGAGAGCTACATCCAGGGCAGCGTGAAGCCGGAGGTGGCGCAGAACCAGACGGCCACCGTGCTGGAGATCGGCAGCTCCCTCCTCAACCGCAGCGCCGAGCAGAGCCGCAAGCTCACCGACGTGGAGGCCCAGGTGTGTCCCCACGTCCCCACCACCCTGAGAGCGTGGCGGAGGGTGGCACTGTTTGCTGATAAAAGTGGGGCGATTCCCCGAGGTGACACAGGGTTTAGTGCACCAGTGCCAGAGGTGACAGGGCTGTGTGCCAGGGACCTGCCAGCCTGGTGACATCGAGGATGTGGTGGGGCCCTGGTTGCTGATGCCAACGCTTCCCTCTGCTCCTGAGGCAGGTGCTGAATCAGACTTGGCGCATCGAGATGCAGCTCCAGGAGAATTCCCTGTCCACCACCAAGCTGGAGAAGCAGCTGCTGCTGCAGACCAACGAAATCCACAAGCTGCAGAACAGGAACAAGTAGGGGTTGGAGGGGCTCAGGGATGCCCACAGCCTTTGAACCCCGCAGGGGGGCTGGTGTCTCCCACCTCACACCGCACTTTGAGGGGACTTGAACCCCTCGAGGTGCTGACTGGGGTCTCTGGGGGGTTGCACAGCCCCAGCATGGCCCCTTGGGCTTTGGGTTCCCCTGACTGGGCCCGTCCCAGAGGTGGGGGTGAGAGTCAGTGTGTGCAGAAGGGGATGGGGACAGCAATGGGTCCCCACAGGCATGCCAGGACACTGCAGCTGGGGCTGGGTCCGCTCTGCCATCCCCATCACCGCTGCATCCCCCTCCCAGCATCCTGGAAGTGCGGGTGCTGGAGATGGAGACGAAGCAGCAGGCGGAGCTGGCAGGGGCCCACCTGGAGAAGGAGAAGCTGCAGCG